TTAGGTGGATGTACTTAATTGTATACAACCCTAGTTTTGCTGTTAATATTTCTACTGTCTGCCTTTTCTACGGGTTAATACTTACGAGTTTCATTAAAAAAATAAGACTTGTTAAAGAAAATGAGACTCTTCCTAGGGAGAGAAGAATTCTAACTTGAGCCTCCTTGGAAATTTCCATCGATGCACATACGACACCACAACGTTCTACAGGCTGAAAATATGGCGTATTTTCCCATATGGTGTGTTTCCAGAGAGCTAGACAGGGGTGTCTCCCATTAAGAGCAGAATGGAGTCACTGCTGCAGGGAAATGTCCCCTCCACACAGTGAAACACATTAGTTGAAAAAGCACATTTGTTGAAACGTTTTCTAGCAGACAACCTGTTCCCATGCTGAGAAGCTAATGCCTTACCTCTCACGCACCAGTTAACTCCTTCCAAAAACACATGTAGACCCAGCCAGGCTATATCATTCAAATCATAATCCATCATGGGATACAAAGCTAAGTATGTTTGAATTTCAGTATTCTATAGTTAAATCTCCAACAGCTTTCCTGCATACCCAAAAAAACATAAATCCCCACTCATACCTACACTTGCAGGCAAAATGTACAATTTGAGACAAATGTGTTTTTTATTGCCTAAAGTCACATGTGCATTTGAAGCCCCAAATGAGCACTTTTCAGTCCTTGCCACAATTACAAAGCTCACAGTGGCACTAGTGTTTACACCGACCAGATTAAGCAATAGATGTGGACTTACTATTCCCCAAGGAAACATTCTCAATCTTCCTATTGGTTTTCTATTACTTAACATCTTTTGAGAAGACACATTTGAAGGATACTTAGTGATAAATAAAAACAAAATCTAAGTTAACAATTTCTTAACACGAATCTCATTTCCAAGTCAAATATTTAATCAGTTGGTTAGCTGCTTCCATACTTTCTTTGCTATGATGTTTCTCTGAGGCACTCGGGATTTAGATTTCTCTAATTTGATCTGTCCTGAAAAGTGAAATAATTTATTAGATTTAATTTGCTTTTATTTCACAGCAATCTAATTTCACTCAGTTAACAGGGGCATTGTTTGAACTTTGCCCCAGTCCTTTTGTAACTGGAGATAAATCACTCTGTGATACTATGAAGGCTAATTGTAACTGTAGGTAGTCTACAGTTCCTGGGGAGTTTCTAGAAAATTCTTGGAGGGCCTATAATGAATAAGTCCTCATCCCAGTGTGGCTGGAGATTTTTAAGTTGTGTCAACAAAAGGAGAACCAAGAGGAAGTCATAATGAACTTGTGAAGTATTTAGATGTGAACAGCAATAAGAACGCTGAATATTGAAACATTAGGAAGTAATCCACATGGGTCTTGAACATTTAACACTTGGATGAATTTGTGGAATACACATAAGAAAGGTTATAAATAAAATACCTAAGCATTCCATTCTAAAGGCTGGAAAATAAACTTATGGAAAACCCAAAGAAAGAAGAAAGAAATGAATAATGGACAGGAGGTAGAATTAAATAATTAGAAAAAGTAGAAGACACTTTCAACAAATCTCAGAGGCTAGTTCTTTGATGGTAATAGTAAAAGAGAAAAACTTAAGACCAGCATTATTTATATTTTTTAAAGAGAAATAAGTCTGAAATAAAAAAAAATAAACAAAGGTAATTCATTTCATTCCAGTGCCTCACTTAAGGGTAACCATCTAGCCCCCTACCCACTCCCTGCCCCAGCCTGTCCCCACTGCAGAAACAAAATAAGGGTGCATCTAAAACCCAGGTTCTGGAAATGACCACATGGATATGAGTACTGGTTCTCTCCAACTACCCGTGGAACCCCAGACAACTGACTTAACCACCCTTGCCTCACTTCCTGCATCTTAAAAATGGGAATAAGCAGAGAACCTATATCATAGGGTTTTCATCTTTGCCTCACTTCTCACATCTTAAAAATGGGAATTAGGAGAGAACCTAACTCTTGGGGTTTTATGAGGCCTTGGTGAACAAAATTTGTAAAGCACCTAGAACCTTAACCCAGACACAGAAATCATATTTACCCAAAGATATAAACTCCCCTGATTTTTCTTTACAGAAAGATGCAAGTTTTTCCACAGACCTCATCATCTACAGTGAAACACTGGATGCTGTTTGAGGAACTCTGTTCTTTCCTTAATGTCCATTTCATACTGTTTTAAAACATGTCTTCAAATTCTTTGACACTTCTACCAAACCAAGATGGTGTAACTTCTCTCCCTTTAAGTATGGACCAACCTTAGTGTCTTGTTTGAGGAACAGAGTGCCTTGGAAGTGAGGCTTCTGAGATTAGGTTAGAAAAGCTGGCACAGTTCCATGGGTTCTTTCTTGGGATTCTTGCCCCTTGGGCCCCAGCCACCATATTGTGAGGACACATAATAGTGCTCTGGCCAGCAGCTCCCACAAAGGGTCCTACCAACAGCCAGCATTAATCACCAGATATCTCAATGAGACAGTATCCAGATAATTCCAGGCTTCCTTTAAGCCACTCCAGTTGATGCCAAGTGGAGCCTGCCCAATTTGCAGATTTGAGAAAAAATAATTATTGTTGTAAATTAAGCTCTGGGTGGCTTGGTACATAGCAATACATTAACACAACAGACTGTGTTGCTAAAAGTGGAGTGTTGCCATATCAGAAAACCTGACACATGTATGAGTAGCCTTGTGACTGGGTGGTGGGTAGAAGCTATACTTGGTGACATACACTTGACTCTAGAAATGCAAGCACAAGTTATACTATGTTTAATATGTATCAAATGTAATTAACCACATTTAACAAGTGTAGCAGAAAAATCACATGATCATGTCAATTGATTCAGAAAAAAAGGCATTCAATAAAATCTCCACTCTTTAAAAAAATCTTAAAAAAATTGTTGTTAAAAAATATCATAGTTTTAAAAGACAAGCTTGGAGAAAATATTTGCATATCATAACAAAATTATCACAAATATATCTGTTTTTATCTAATATGTGGTGTGTATATGTGTCTCAATTTAGATAAATGTATGTATGTAGTGTGTGTGTGTGTGTGTGTGAGAGAGAGTGTGAGTGTGAGTGTGAGTATTCTTAAAAATCAATTTTTGAGAGGTGCCTGGGTGGCTCAGTTGATTAGGCATCAGACTTCAGCTCAGGTCATGATCTCGCTGTTCCCAAGTTTAAGCCTCGCGTCAGGCTCTGTGCTGACAGCTCAGAGCTTGGAGCCTGCTTTAGGTTCTGTGTCTCCTTCTATCTCTGTGCCTCCCCTGCTCACACTCTGTCTCTCTCAAAAATAAACAAACATTAAAAAAAATTAATCAATTTTTGAGACGTGCCCAGATGGCTCAGGCAGTTGAGTGTCTGACTCTTAATCTCAGCTCAGCTCATGATCTCAAGGTTCGTGAGTTTGAGCCCCACATTGGACTCTGCTGTGGCAATGTGCAGACAGCTTGGGATTCTCTCTTTCTCCGTCTCTCTCTGCCTCTCCCCCACCTACACTACCTCTCTCTCTCTCTCTCTCTCATAAGCAAACTTTAAAAAAATCAATTTTTGAGGAAGAGAAAAAAATTTAAAATTTAGCAAAGAACAACAGAAGACAGAGAACACCCAATATGCAGCTTCATGATAAAATAATTATTATTTAAATTAAGCTCTGGGTGGCTTGGCACATAGCATACAATAGAAGACATAACAAACAGCAAAAGAAGATGGACAGATAATAGTAATGATGGAGAGAAATGACAGATAATCGACCTCATAAGTAATAAAACAAAAATCAGAACTACAATGACATTCTCTTTCTGCTTCCACATTTGCACAAATGTAAATGGTCAGAAACATCAAATGTTAAGGAAACAACGTGATCAAGGAACTCACAGGCAGAGTCAGCAAACAACAAATTGGTACAGTTACTCTGAGCAGCAGCTTGGCAGAATGTAGCATTACTGGAGATGTTATGTGCTTATTTAAGGCCCATCAGTTCTCCTTGCAAGAGTATGTACTAGAGAAACACCCACATTGCACAATGAGATTGGAAACTTTTGTTAAGAGTGTCCACTGCACCACTACTTATAAAATGAAAGAATTCAAGAACAGCTTAATTATCCATTTATTTAAGTGGATCAATGAGATAACACTTAAAAAGGAACATTATCTCGTAATTTTAAGTGAAGAGGTACAATATGATGCATACAATATTGTGTCATTCACAAACTTTTTAATGTTTTTTTAGTTTTGTTTTTGAGAGAGAGATGGAGTGTGAGTAGGGGAGGGGCAGAGAGAGAGGGAGACACAGAACCCGAAGCAGGCTCCAGGCTCCGAGCTGTCAGCACAGAGCCCGATGAGAGTCCCATTTTCTAAGTGGCAATGGAAAGTACGAAAGAGGTCCATAAGCCTATGTGCAGGTGACATCAACCTTTACATCCAGCCATCGGTCTCCCCTAATCCTGCAAACAGTACTTGAGGAAGGAAGGAGTCACCATGGAGAATGGCTTTCCATCAGTCCAGGCACGGGCGCAGAGCCAGCGGATACCAGGAGCCGCGAGCATTAAGTTGGCTCTGTCTGCAAAGGAGTGAAGCGTCAAGGAAAGTTCTCCCTTATGTCTGCCACACAGGGCTGCCTGCCATGTGCAAACGCTGCAGGAAGGTGGAGTGAGAGAAACAGAACAGAGTGCAAGAAAAACTGAGCTCCCTCTCAGCCTGGAATGTGGATATCTTAAGGGTAGAAACTGCCCTTTCAGATTTCTCTATTTTTATGTTGCACGTTGTGCAATTATTTTCAATTTTTCTTCCTCTGTGATATTTAATCATTTTTTTAAAATGTCAGTCTGCTTCAGCTGTGCTAAGAGAAAACAAGGAAAGGTGTTTTAGTCAGAGTTTTAGAAAGACCAAAGCCTCTGTTGGGGACTGTACACAGTGCAGTCGCTATGGAAAACACTATGGAAGGTTCCGCAAAATGATTTAACAATAGTCCTGCCATGTATGATCTAGCAATTCCACTTCGGGCTGTATATTGAAAGGGACTGAAACAAGATGTTGAGACCCGTGTTTATTACATGATTATTTACGAAAGTAAGATGTGGAAACAACCTAAATGTCCACGAATGGATAAACGTTTTAAATGTGGCACACACAATCAGTGGAGCACTACTCAGCCTTAAAAAAAGAAGGAAATCCTGTCATATGTGACATCACTGACCTTGAAGACATGCTCAATGAAAGCCCACCACAAAAAAAAGACAAATACTGCCTGCTTCCACTTATACAAGCTATCTACAGTCAAACTCGGAGACAGAAAACAGAATGGTGGATGGCAGAGGCCAGGTAGGGTTACTGTTTGATGCATATAGACTTAGTCAGCAAGATGAAAAGTTGTAGAGGTCTACTGTACAGCAATGAGCATATGATATGGTTCACAATACGGTAAAGTACACTTAATTACTGTGAAGAGGCTGTGAGAACCAATTTTATGTGTCACTTTGACTGGGCCACAGGATGCCTGGAGATTTGGTCAAGTCTGATTGTGGGTGTGTCTGTGAGGGTGTACGGAAGAGATTAACATTTGAGTCAATCCAGCGAGTAACACACTCTGCCACCCCTTAATGCTGGTGGGCTTCATCCAATCCACTGGAGGCCTGAGTAGATCAAAAAGGCTGAGTAGGCAGAACTCCCACATCTCGAAGCTGGGAAACTGGTATTTCCTGGCCTTTGGCTGAAACGTCAGCTCTTCCTCAGTCTGTAGCCAGCTCTTGGACTTGCCCTTATCCTGGCTCTAAGGTCTTCGACTCAGACTGGAACTACACCATCCATTGATTCTCCCGGGTCTTAATCAAATTCATCTCCAGGGACTTGTCAGCCTCCGTATTTGTGTGAGCCAATTCCTTCCAATAAATCTCTCTATACACAGATTAGATAGATAGACAGACAGACTGACACAGATCACCAAATCACCTATTGGCTCTCCTTCCCTAGAGAACCCAACTGAACAAACAGTAAATTTATGTCTTTTTTACCACAATAAATAAAAAGAAATAAGTGCAGTGTCTCCTGAAGGAAGTTATGAGGATTTCATGAATCAACAGTGATAACGCACTTAAAACCATACCATAAAAATAGAAAACTATTTTTAACTATTCATTAAATAAGCAAATTTGCTCTCTCTTCTCTGGAGAAAGGTGATAGTTTGTCTAGTGGCCACACACATTATTTTTGTACCTTGACAATGGATGGAAGGTTCCTCCTTTTGAAACTTTCCTTAATTTTAATCCCATGTATCTTTTTCTTTCTACCAAAGCCAGAACGAGAAGTCAAGATTTCAAAATCTAGTCTGCGCAAGTCTGACCTCCTCTCTTCCTCCTTCAATAAAACCAACACTCTGTACATTTATTTATTTTTTTCCTATCAAGGCATAAAAAATCATGTCTGTGAATGTAGCTCTTCTCCATATAACAGCACAGTGTCCTGTCTGCACTAAGTATTCAGTAAAGCCTGCCTCCCTTTCCTGATTCTGGCGCCCGGGGTACACTGTGTGCAGGCTGACCTACCAATGCTTGCTCTTACTGTCCCCCCAGCCTAATTCTTTTCCCACGACTGTCTTCTTGTCCAAATCCAAGCATTGCTCAACCTCCTTTGGCATCACAAAAACAGCTGTTCCTCGCAGACCTCCTTCCTGCAATTCCTAAGGCAGGTGGTCTATAATTTGAAATTGTCAGCGGTCAGTCAGGAAGTAACTCAAAAGGGTGCTGAGTTACCAATCCCTTCCACCTCCAGGGCAATGGGACGTAGCCAGAAGGGGCTAGAGCCCAGGGACCAGTCACTTCCTTCTGAACGAGACTCATCAATGCTCGGGGCACCCAATATGAAAAGGTTGGGTAGCACTGGTCCAGAGTAGCCATCCATACTGAGAAATTATTATCTTGAACTGTTTTGTGTTTTAATGCAGATGTGCATTCTGCTCCGTTAAAGTACAAACCCTACCAAGACTGAAGACCACTATCACTTACATCTTTTCTCTCTGTGAGAAAGCCAAACTGCTCAGAGGAATGAGCTCCTTAAAACAAGTCTCCCCCACCTGGGTTTATAATCCCAGGCTTGCCATTTTAAAGCTTCAGGGTTCCTTGGAGTTTTAGAATGCCCAGTCTGTGAAGCCCGAATCTGTAAAGTGGGTATGCTGGTATACTCCATGCAGGGCTGCAGTGGGGGTTAAACGATCAAATGAAATCGACGTGCCTGTCACACAGTTGGTACTCAGTAAGTGAAAGCGGCTTTCATACATGATTTCTATGGTGCTGATGAAGGGAAAGAGGAGATGTGAAAGGTCATGGCTGCATCAAGATGTTACAGACTTCCTGGAAAATGAAAATCTGTTTTCATTTTGTTTTTTTATTTTTTTTACTTTTTAAAGTTTATTTATTTAATTTGAGAGAGATAGACACAGTGTGAGCTGGGGAGGGGCAGAGGGAGAGTAAGAGAGAGAATCCCAAGCAGTCTCCATGCTGTCAGAGCAGAGCCGGATGCGGAGCTCGAACTCACAAACTTGAGATCATGGCCTGAGCTGAAACCAAGAGTTGGGCGCTTAACCACCTGAGTCACTCAGACACCCCTAAAAATCTATTTTTAAGATAAAAGTTCATAAGAATAGAAAATGGAAACCTCGATGTTAAGACTGAGATTCCAGCATGTGCACCCAGACACACACGCACGCGCATGCATGCACGCTCAGGTGTAAAGTGAGCACCCGATCTCTAGTGATGGATTCTGTCCATCTGTCTGATGATCTCCCTATGCTTTGTGAGACGCCTCCCACTCACCCTGATGCCATCACACTTAGCAATTTGCCAGTTTTAGTTCAACACATGCTAAGTATTTTGTCGCCATATATGTTGGGACCAGATTTTTTCAAGTGTCTTTTTCTAAGCCACTGATCTCCACTTTTTCGATGGAAAAATATCAACACTGAAAACGAAACACAAATTTGGTTCCGAAACAGAATTCAGGGAAGAAAGTCCACCTGTTACAAGATGGAACTCAGATACTAAGGTGTTTATTCTCCCTTCCTTTAGTCCAAAGCAGATGTCAGCAGCTGCTATATCATCATCTTTTATAGAACAAATGTCAGACAAGCAAACAGATGAGGGGACATGTAGTGCTCCGAGGTCACCAGGATAGTGAGAGAAGAGAAAGACAAGCCAGTGGCCATGCTGCCAGGGACTATCCCACTACAGTGAGTGAGTACGACCGGCAAAAACTTGTTCAGAAAGTGTTTTTCACCTCTTCCAGGACTGCAGGTAAACTCTACTGACAGGCGCATGCCACCTGAGCATAGAAATACACAAATAAGGGGCGGGGAGCCTGGAGGGCTCAGTCAGTTGAGTGTCTGACTCTTGGTTTGGCTCAAGGCATAACCTCATGCTTTATAGGTTAGAGCCCCACATTGGGCCCTGTGCTGACAGCACAAAACCTGTGTCGGATTCTGTATTGCCCTCTCTCCGCCCTTCCCCTACTCATGCAGTCTCTCTCTCTCTCCCCCGTTGCTCTCTCTCTTTCTCTCTCAAAATAAACAAGCAAACTTAAAATAAAGAAAAAAAAAGAAATACACAAATAAAACATCTAGGCATGGAAAAGGAAAGCTATTACAGGACAACTATTGGTTTTTCCACATATAGCATGAAACGTAATCATCTTTTTTTGTTTGTTTTGTTTTTTGTTTGTTTTTATTTATTTATTTATTTTTTACAAATAGTTTATTGTCAGGTTGGTTTCCATATAACACCCAGTGCTCATCCCTACATCCTTTTAACATAATCATTCTGAAGAATTAGTTTTGACATAAAACTACCAGGGAATATACACAATCGGGTTTCTCCAGTATATATAAACAAGCTAAATTCATGGCAGGTACATTCCATTTGCCATGGGATTTCACAATCCAAATAAAAGAAATTAGGCACTGAACATTTTAAATCTTACTTTCTTGAATTGGAACACATTTATGTCCCTCTAAATTTAACCATGAAAATTTTTGGAAAAACTGACTTTCATTTGAGGAAGCAACCAGACGCACTGTAGGGGTTGGAGTTCTTGCTTAAATAAAAAGAATCACTTAATTTATAACCTTGTTGTTTGAGCAGCAAGTTAATAGAAGAGGAATGAGTATTTTGGTTTCATTACCTATATGTGAGGGAAGACAAAATAATTCTCAAGAATTGACAATAGTCTCTCAGCACAGTGGACAGTCAATGGCCAGTCAAAAAAAGAGCTCCAGTAAAAAAAGATGAGCCAAAAAGAAGGAGTCCAAGGATATCACTGGGTTAGAGAAAGTAAAAAAAAAAAAGGGAAAGGGCCCCAAAATGAATGACAAAAGAAGTTGAGGCAGGACAGTGTGGCAGAGGAAGCAGACAGGAATGACAAATGGAAAAATGATGCTCTCTAAGAGAACAAGCCTAAGGAGGGGGTGTTTTAGTGCCCTGAAATTTCCAACTCCCCCTTCGTTCTTTTTTTTTTTTTTTTTGAAATGAAATGGTCTTTATTTTCCAGAAGCGACAGGATGATCGCCCCGCCCTGCAGCTTAGATTCATGGAGGGAGAAATAAAATCTGTCCCTGTGACTCCCATGTGAGCCGGCCTCGGGGAGGTGCGCGGGGGGACCGGTGTGGAGACGACGAAGTAGACAGCGTGACATGGACATGCGGAAGCGTGTTGAGCAGTGGAGACCCGGCCACTCAGGGCCGACTGATGGCCCGCAACCCACCAGGTCCCACGCCTCTGAGCCAAGTTTCTTGGCCACTGCCTTGTGCTCGGGGAGGGAGACACCGGCGTGTGGCCAACAGCTCGCTCGGCTGTCTAACGGCCAAGAGATTTCATAAATGACCATTTCTGCTGCCCACTTCCTGCTACCTTACTTTGTCTCCAGATCCACCTAAGGCTCACCCTGTTTCCCCAGTGACGTGGAATGGCTTTGTGCCCATTTAACTGTAGCTTGTGCCATTCCACGAAGTAATAATTCAAACAAAGTAAGAACGTGACACGCGGAGCCTCACACACGTCACATGTCCACACAAGAGGGCCGGCTGAGGCGGCACAGCTTTTATGAGCCCATGTCACAGACAAGGAAACCACAGCTCAGTATTATCCCAGCACCCTGGTTGCCAGATGGCCCCTGATTTGCCCCTCTGAATAACTAGCACGCTCCAAAATTTTCACGATCCCTTTCTCTTCCTGAAATGTTACTGGATCTCATCCTTAGGAGTGATTGATGCAGGTATCTAGATGGATAAATGCATCTTTTGTTCATTTATTGATTCACTGATTCAACATGGATTTATTAGAATACTCCACAATGAGTAAGACAAGCATGACCCGGCTCTCCTCAAGCAGATTATAACAACAACAAAAAGAACACAAACGCCTTAAAGCTATCTACAGGTTGCAGGAAGTACTCCTGAGCAAATAACTATGGGGCTGAGGTAGAAAATTTGGGAGGGCCCAAATGGTCAGGAAAAGTCTCTTTGGAGAAAGATTTCAGCTGAGATTGGAAGAAGCCAGAAGAAACCCATTGTTCACAGTGTGGACAAAACTGCAGTAGAGAAGGCAAAGGAAGGTAGGGCTTGGAGTGCTGTGGGCCACCAGGTCATAGGGCCGTCAAGTCAAAGGGCCATCAGGTCATAGGGTCATCGGTCATAGGGCCATCAGGTCAAAGGGCCATTGGGTCATGCTTTGTCAAAAGTATGAAGGAAAAGCCCTTGAGTTTTAAATCAAAGTGTGACATATTCTAACTTACACTTTTTAAAGATGATCCGACCATTGTGTGGAAAAGGAAGTGGAGTCAGGAAAAGAGTGGAAAACAAGAGAAGACTGAATCTCTGCAGCTATCTGCAGGCAGGAGAGAGGGTGGCGGCCACGGAGATGAGGAGCGCTGATTCCAGATGCATTCTGGAAAACTGGCTAGTGGCCTTCATGCGTGTCACGGTCATGGGGGAGAAGTCTGAGGATCAGAGTGCACTGGTTGGAAAGGAAAGAGGACCGACAGTCTGAGGATAGGCTAAGAAGTGGCAACAAAAGCTAATGCCTGCTTTACTTCTAAATACAGTAAAACCTTGGATTGTGAGTAACGTGTTCTGCGAGTGTTCTGTAAATCGAGCAAACATTCCTAATAAATTTTAACTTGATAAACAAGCGATGTCTTGCAACACGAGTAGTACGTGACACCGAACGCCACATGATCACAACTCAGCCAATGGTTCTAGGAATTAGGTTTGATATACAAGTGCTTTGGGTTACAAGCATGTTTCCAGAATGCGTTATGCTCACAAACCAAGGTTTTACTGTACATCTGGTATCTGTCCCCTGGTCCTTACCCCTAATCTTGCTACTCATCCAGTACCTGGAAAAATACTAGGAACAGTGCTCTGTCATAAAGTACCTCATGACCTCACGGCAAAACCATGTTCTTCCCGAGCCCACATGGTCAGTGGGGATTTGGGAAGGAATGTAGCTCAATGACAGAAAATTCAGAGGCAGTTGCCACAGAATGTGAAAACAAATTTTTTGCACACTGTCCTCTTCTTTATTAGATCACAGCCAAATACACAATCTTATACTAAAGTCAAATTTATAAAGATGAGAAAAAATATTAATCATCTAACTAATTCCAAAATTAGAAAAAATCACAGACGTTGAGCTTGAAGGCGCTCAGAGCTCATTGCGTCTTGCACCTGACTCACATGATGAATGACTTGCTGAGGGCTGCATCTCAGGGTCCACAACTAGCTGACTGCTGGGTTGGGACAAGAAAGAAGATCTCCTCATTCATAGCATGTATCATTGAGACTTCTAATGTAACCAACCGTGTCATATGACAGAATTGAACCAAAACAACAGCAGTCAAATTTCCCACCCCCACCCCTGTCCCCCAGACGAGGCTAATATAGAAATTTCAGGGGCCCCAGTGCCTGGACATTCTGTTTTCTTGTCAAATTTCCCATATCATTAATAGATTAGGGGGTTGGAAAGGAACAGGTGTCTTCTTTGTGTGCTCATTATTAAGTAAACTGGCACACATCAATTGAACATTTTTCTCTTGGCATTTTCCAATTGGCTTTTATGGGGCCTTTAAAATTGAAAAATCCCTGATTGCGATGTTTGAAACCTGTTCCAAAAAAACCTCCTCTAAGACAGAGGAGGAGGACAAAAAACTGCCAATCCTTAGCCAGAAGCTTATCATTGAAGTCCAAAGTACACATTGGAACCACGATTTGATAGTGAGCCAGAGAAGGGATTTCAAAAGAATGGTGGTGATTTGGTCAAGTGGGAAATACCTTTGATATTTAAAGCTACTAATACCTGAGCCCCAAAGAGCCACCACACACTAATAGAGATCATCCATGTGGGGAATAACGTGCTATTGTTTGAATGAGGCAGGATAGTCTCTAAATGTATGTGTCAACTAGAAATTCTAAGAGAAATGGAAAAAGTGTCCAGTCTTGCAATTCAATAACTGAGTGTCCACAAATCTGTATCTGGATTCTTTACCAGCTCGACCCTTTATCTACCACTTTGCTCACTTTTATCAACCACAGGATGTCTTTCCCATACATGGGTTCCCTGGTGGATGAGGAGTGGTTTCTGATACTGTTCCACAAAACATCCTTGTCTCCGTAGCAAGAACCCTAGTGCATATGTGTTCTATCTCACCATATGCTCTCTTTCTTCTTGTTCACTCTTTGGACATGTAGGGTATGAAATGGCATGCAATGTATGTATTTAATACACAATGACACCCAGCCAATAAATCATGCCAGAGGTAGGCTCCTAAATATTAAGCATATTTCCCACTCATCTGTCTTTCTTTTGATATTCCATTCCCATGGGATCACACGGTAGAGAAATCTAGAACTGTCTTTTCAGGGAAGGAATGATGGAAATTTGCCCATCGTAAGAATTTAAAGCTTCCTTCATCTCAATCACCATTCCTATGTGTTTCTAAGTTTTCCAAAATATCTTTTATTTATTTATTTTTTTTGAAATGAAACTTCAGTCCCCAATGCTGGAAGCAATCCTTTCTCGCACTCTCACTCCTGCTCACACTCTTTCCCTCTCCCCCCACCACCCTTAAGTTCATTAGGAAGGACTCATGCCATCCCCTCTCAGTAGCTTTCATGACATTCAGTTACTGGAGGCTCAAATGCAGCATACACTTGCCTGGAAGTCCCAGGGAGCATCATTCTGTCAAGCAGAACATGTGATTAAGATCAGACCAACTCATGATCTTGAAAATGTGGCTGCTGACCCATCCCAATCCCGGAAGGTATGTGGTGTTCTGATTGATCAAGTTAGTAATTACATCTGACTGCCTTAACTCTCCCTGCAATTGCACCAGATTCTTCCTGTCCTAAATTAAAGTGTGAACACATCAGTCCACAATTAGGAGTTCTGCACATTTCATGGTCAGTGAAAATATATTCTTAATATATTTCTCATTTGATAAATATTTTCTGATATTATTAAGGTTCCTTGAGGTTAGAAGAATTGTAGAAACATGCGGGCACATATCCTTTGGCTAATGACAACGTGAAACTTTCAGATCTCTACTGAGAAACTGTGAACAGTGAGAAGTAGGACTGTAGGAGTGATGTTTACTGAACTTTTAAGCTAAATTAGACAGATGTAAAATTACAGGGAGGAGGGATCTTTGAGTCATCGAAAGCCCTTTGTTCTAGCAAAAGGTAATGGTGTTTTGCATGCCCACTGTCCCCATTCTAATAATGTGCTATTTACTGCTAACAGGCTCTCACTTTCAGATGGCTAATTGGTTTTTCCTCCCCACTATTATGTTTTTTAGGGTGTTATCTTCTGCATCGAGGTATTCTCATTTCTCAGGGAAGAAATACATTTAACCCAGGGGAGCCTGAATGTCATGCCTGGTTATCTGACCTACTACCTCTACTCAAACACAGAACCCTACAAACCCATGACAAAAATGGAGACGCACTCCACTCCACTGAGACTGTCATGAAGTCCTGGACATGCCTTTGACCTCCTGAGCAGAAATCACACTGGAATCAAATTCCTTGGGTGCTGATCCAAGTATCATCATGGACAACCGAGTAACTGAGCCTTCATCTCCCTCTTTGCTCTAAGATTCTGTTCTGCCTTGTGTAAGTAACTAGGAATGAAACTGTCCTTCTGCAGGAGATGTTGCTGTGTGGTTCATGGAACGATAGCTCAAAAATGCCCACGAGAGAGTTTTTCCAAGGATGAATATTCCACCAATCCTCTGTCTCTGATGAATTTCGCCTGCTTACCTCCAAGGCAAGCTACTAAAAAGATAGACACAGACCATACAGAATCTTGGAGGTGCTTTCACCCCAGGGATCTACAAACCCATCCACCCACGTGGAACACCAATGATCAGTCAATGAGCCAGTCACTAGTCACCAGCAAAACTCATTCCACTTCAGATCTAGTTCAAGTCAAGTACTGATTTCTTATTTATTTATTTATTTATTTATTTATTTATTTGTTTACTTTGCTGCCTTTAAACAGTGTATCCCATAGGGAATGATCTCCAGAAACTATTACAGAAATTTGTCAGAGTAGTGGAATTGGCAGTGATTGATATCGTCTTCATTGGCTTCCTGTCAAAGTGAGAAAAAATACATTGACATGAGACGATGTGTACCTGGGAAACAGATTCACTGCACCTTGAAGACTTGGTGAGATCACTGACTGAACCTGATTTGACCAGCAAAATCTATAATACATCAGTGTATCAAAGACAAATAGTGTATGATATCACTTACGTGTGGAATCAAAAAAACCTGAACTCATAGAAACAGAGTAGAGCGGTGGTTGCCAGGGTGGGGTAAATGGGAGGGATGTTGGTCAAAGGGTTCAAATTTCCAGTAATAAGATGACTACATTCTGAGATCCAATGCACAGCATGGTGATTATAGTTATTAATAATCTGTTATATGCTTGAAAGTTGCTAAGGGAGTAGATCTTAAATGTTCTTATTGCAAAAAAAAAAAAAAAAAAGAAATGGTTGTTATATGACGTGATGAAGGCATTAGTTTGCACTACGGGGTAATCGTTTTGCAATATGTAAACATATTGAATCAACATGTTAGCCACGTTATATACCTGAAACTTACGCAATACATCAGTTACATCTCAGTGAAGCTGGGAATAAATGAAAAATAAATTATTGTTTTTAAATGAAAAAAAAAAAATCTCTGTCATAGGTGGCCACTGTTGTCAAAGACATGTTCTCAAGAATGCAGTGGGCTCTGCTCCAAGCTGAATCACAAGCGCTGGAATCACCTGGGTCTAAAGCTCTCTCGTAAGAATGTGCGGATAACATCACTATAAAACACACATAGGCAACTCTGTATTATTTACGGTTAGTCTTTCTTTCAAGTTCCTACTGATATAATTTAGAAGACTTATAAATCTTCCAGTTTTAATATCTCCTTTACGACTTCTTAGTTAATCTGTATTCAAGAAGCAAACATATAGCAATTTTCCTTTATATGCATTTTTTCAAGAAAATTTTTTCACGCAAGATCACATGGTTTAGGTTGAAGGTCTACGTTCTTTAGAAAGGAAATATTTCCAAGCTTCAGAACAGGATAAACACATTAGAAAATAATCTAACTCTCCTTGAGCCATATCTCTAAAGTTAGTCTTGGAAACGTCTTGAATGCTTAAGAATTCTAAATTTCAGAGTGCCTAGGTGGCTCAGTTGTATGACTCTTGATTTTGGCTCAGGTCATGATCTCAGGGTTTGTGGGTTCAAGCTCCACGTAGGGCTCTGCAGGGTGCAGAGCCTGCTTTGTATTCTCTCTCTCTCTCTCTCTCTCTCTCTCTCTCTCTCTCTCATTCTCTCTCTCTCTCTGTCCCTCCTCCCACCCCTCCCTCTCTCAAAGTAAATAAACTTTACTTTGTTTTCAATTAAAAGATATTCTTATATCTGAAATGAAATATAGGCAAATGTAGTATCTGCACCATTGCCTCTGTTGTGCATGTAGGGAAGCAAAATTTGCCCCTCCAAAACGCATGGCTTTGACATGTGGATTATTCTAGGCTGATTATTTTAAAAAAATTTAAATGTTTATTTTTTTGAGAGAGAGAGAGAGAGAGATAGACAAAGCACGAGTTAATGAGGGGCAGAAAGAGAGAAGGAGACACAGAATCCGAAACAGGCTCCAGGCTCCAGGCTCCAGGCTCTGAGCTGTAAGCACAGAGCCCGACGTGGGACTCAAACTCACGAATTGCAAGATCATGCCCGAGCCAAAGTCATATACTTAACCAACTGAACCACCCAGGGGTCCTTAGGCTGATTGTTTTTAAGAAACAGAAGGCTCAGGAAGAACTTTTATCATTCCTCCAACTGCCTAAAAGAAAATGGATAGAGAACCTCCCCCAGGAAGGAAGCTATCATGACAGATAACTACAGTATGATAGGAGCTAAGCACGGTGCACAGCAAGGAACCCAACAACGTGTTTGTTAAAATTCCTCTCCATGCCCCACTGTTTCCGTAGGCCCAGCAAACCCTTGTTTACCGAACACATACTTTTCCTTATCTTCCCGTGAATTGCTTTCCTTCTTTTTGAAACCCTAGACCACTACCCCCTTCTCTTCAGCTCCAGATGGCATATAAGCCTCCACTGCCTGACTGCCCATGGACTTCCTATTCTTATGGAGTCCCTGTATGCATGTAATTAAACTTGACTTTCTTTTGTTACTCTGTCTCACGTCAACTTAATTCTTAGAAGATCCAAAATAATGTGGAAAGGTAGAAACTTTTCCCTTCCCCAACATATGTTCAGTTTGAGTCAACTGCACAAAATCTCTGCAGAAATGCAGAGACAGGGCATGCGTGCTGTGAAGGAAGGCAGGTGAGGTAGATTTGATTTCTTGTGCTCTCTACTATTTCTTGAGAATTCAAAACATAGCAAATGGTCATTAAATATCTATTCATTAGTTAAGCAAATGAAATGGCCCCATATAGAAGACAATATTAATTAGGAAAGACTTTGGGGACTAGATAATATTTAATCAGAGGATAGAAGGACATAAATTGACTTGGCCCAAGGGACGAGAAAGTAATTTCCAGAAGTAGAAAAAATGCCATAGAGAAGCATTTTAAAGCAAGACGATGGATGAGAGCCTATACGGGGAATGTGCACAGTATGTCAACATATAGACTCGATTTATTGAAGCCTAAATACCATAGAATAGTACCACAAAATAACCATAATTTCATCAATTTCCATTTGCATGTTACTTTAACATTTATAAAATGGTTTTTGAATATTATTGCATTAAGTCCTTGATGGAGAATAACTCAGTGATGGAGGAATAATCATTCTCATTTTGCAAACAAAGAAATGAAGGCTCAGAAATGTTAGTCAATTATCTAAAGGTACTTACAAGAAAGTGGAAGAGGTTATATGCAAATTACTTCTGATTTACGATCTAATGCTCTTTTACTAAGTTATTACTTGGTTTCTACAAATGTAAGTGCAAATTATATGCGGCCAGCAGGGAGGAAGGTTAGGACAAAACAGAGTTCACAATTATTGGTGCTCTTAAAATTCAAATTGTTTATTATAACTCTTGGCCTCCATAGTGTATCAGAGTTTCTTGTAAAATTTCTTAAATCAGAGACTTTTCCATCTGTAGTTCTGGGAAAAACCACAGGATGTCATCTTGTGGAATGCTTTTTTTTCAAGCAAGTTATTTGTTTTGAGGAGGAGAATAGAATTTTTTAAATGGTGGAAAGTTTCTCTTTCTCAAAGTGAATTTTCTTATTTTGAAGAGTAATTCATCCCTATGGCTTAGAAATCAAAATTATTTAATAAATTATAGATTCAAAGTCTTGCTTTTACTCTTGCCTGTTGTTCTCCATCTTCACACCCAGCAGCCCATTCTAAGATCATGGTGTGTATCCCTCCAGATTATTATACACACAGACGCACAAATGCACATGCGCACATGCTTACACAGGCACCGGCATACACACACAAACACTTCTGTCTTTATTACATCGGTGGTAGAATAACAGACACATGACTCTGCATTGTTTTAAAATTTAACCTATTCTGGGGTGCCTGGGTGGCTCAGTTAGTTGAGCATCCAACTCTTGATTTTGGCTCGGGTCATGATCTCCTGATTGTTGGGATCAAACCCCAAGTCGGGCTCTGTGCAAATAGCACAGAGACTGCTTGAGATTCTCTCTGTCCCTCTCTATAAATACATACATACATACATACTTTGAAAAATTATAAAATTTAACCTATCCTAAGATATTTTATAACAATACAATATAATCAGTTTCCTTTTATTTTCTAACAGCTACCGTGTACTTCAATTTGTGGATGTGTATGGATGAGTGCGTGGGTTCTTTCTAATTTTTGGTTTAAAACTTCTGAAGAGTAAATTATAGAACAGATACAGTTAAGTTATAAATTTAGATTTACCCAAATCTATGGACTTTGACCTTGAGCATCCAACCCTCTCTCAATCCCTCTTCTGATGGTCTTGCTCTTTGACTGCTTCACGATCATCACCAATATTACCCTCAAGGGTCTTCTCAGTAATGGAGGAGGGGAGACAAGGCAAGATGGCCATACAGTGCTCAAGCTCCAAATGTTCAAGGTAAAGGCTAGGTTGCATTTTCAGGCCAAAGTTAAAAGTAACAATTCAAAAGTGCTGAACCATGGACATTTACAAGTCTTCTTTTAACACATGGATTTCTTCTGCATAACACCTGGCTTTTATATGCATAGGATTCCTTTTTCCTACCAGGGCCTGGAGTTATTCATGCTAAGGAATTACCAAAGATCATGGGAAAGACACAGAATTTCCATGTGGCTTTAACGATTTTTCTTGTCTTTATCTTTTTTTAATGTTTTATTTATTTCTGAGAGAGAGAGGGATACAGAATCTGAAACAGACTCCAGGCTCTGAGCTGGTTGTCAGCACAGAGCCCGACGTGGGGCTCAAACCCATGAATCGTGAGATCATGACCTGAGCCAAAGTCGGATGCTTAACCTACTGAGCCACCCAGGTGCCCCTCTTGTCTTTAGAGATTAATTTCCATAAGCACCTGATCATCTGATCCTAACCCATCTCTACTGGCGCTTTATATAGATACGGCATCAGATTCCTCTCCACGCAGAGGCAATATAACTTGACAAATAAAAAACATGGTTCAATGTTTTTTATAAAAAGAACTAAATGGAGTGCTTCCTAATGATTCAGGAAAGATGCTGACATTCTTCCAGTTAGCAGAAAACAACACACATGTAGGAATCATCCACTCCAAATAATTAGCTAATAAAATGATGAAATGTGAGGTGCCTGCAGGGCTCAGTTGGTTAAGTGTCCAACTTCAGCTCAGGTCATGATCTCATGGTTCTGTGAGTTTGAGCCCCACATTGGGCTCTCTGCTGTCAGTGTGGAGCCCGCTTCAGATCCCGTTTCCCTCCCTCTCTGCTACTCCCCCGCATGTACACACGCTCCCTCTCGCTCTCTCTCTCTCTCTCTCTCTCTCAAAAATAAATAAACATTAAAAAAAAAGTCTCAGGACATGTTTAAAAGTACCTTGGGTATACTGCAGAAAAACCCTAATTTCCCATCTTTTATTCCTAGCTATGTCAGTGCTGCATTTTACGTGAGGCACTGGTTCTTACAAAATGTTTCTGGAAAATGGAAGTTTATAAATGACACGCTGAAAAAAAAAATAACCAGGACTCTTTTGCTTGATTTAATCCCAGTGCTCAATTCCTCTTCATCATTCCCTAATATGGCCTTTCAATCTGTCTTCCAGGCCAAGGGACTGTCAGTTTCCTAGGAAGGACAATGTTTCGGGAATAAATGTGCTTTCTAAGTCTCAGCTACAGACACCAGCAAAACCTGTTGAAAACCGAAAATTCATTCCTACCTGACACCAAATAACTGTTTTGACTGATTATTTCCTCTGAACTGACAGGTTGTTTTGGCAAAGTAGACACCAGCTTAGTCAATTGAGCGCATGAATGATACATGAGGGGTTCCATTTTCAAAGCAGAAAAAAATTGTACAGTTGTTCATTCAACACTCAGAGTGTTTATTTGGTTCCATAACACCTATTTTCAAAGTAGTGACTATGCAGAATACAAAGGACTTTTTGAGAGATAGAGTGTGAGCATGGGGGAGGGACGGGGGAAGGGAGAGAGAGAGAGAGAGAGAGAGAGACTCCTAAGCAGGCTCCATGCTCAGCACGAAACCTAATATGGGGCTTGATACCACAACTTTGGGATCATGACCTGAACTAAATTCAAGAGTCTGATGCTTAACCGACTGAGCCTCCCTGGCTCCCCAGTGCCTCTTGCATTCTTATTTATAACTAGGAAGTGGAAACAGTCAAGAAGGTCTACAATAAGAAAGCAGTTAAATCCACAAAGGCATCCTCTGTTTCCCTGGGAGGTCGAATTCCAAAAGCTGCATCCAGTTCCACAGCAGCATAGCGATCTAGACCCAGAACCAAAATCTAGGTGGGATGATTTCTGTTCCCACCTAAGACATTTCTAATCTCATTGACACAGCCATTGTTCTATCTACCAGAGATCTCAGGAAAGTTTTATTTTATTTTTTTTAATATTTTTTNATACTCTGAACCATGTGAAAGAGATAATTACTTTTTAACATAACTTATAAAAACACATAATTTTTATTGGAACAATAAGAAAAAAATAGTTTGAAAATTTTATGATGAAGCAAAAAAAGCATTATAATGAAGTTTATACATTTTTTTTAATTTTTTTTAATGTTTTATTTATTTCTAGGAGAGAGAGAGAGACAGAGTGAGCAGGGAAGGGTCAGAGAGAGAGGGAGACACAGACTCGGAAACAGGCTCCAGGCTCTGAGCTGGCAGTCAGCACAGAGCCCGACGCGGGGCTCGAACCCACGAACTGCGAGATCATGACCTAAGCGAAAGTCGGACGCTTAACCGACTAAGCCACCCAGGCGCCCCAAAAGTTTTAATTACCTAGAAAAATATTCCTATTTTTCCCCTGAGACATATGGGAATTAGAGAGTGATTTAAAAAAAAAAAAATTAGGAAAGGAAATGAGTACCTTGTGAGATTAAGCACTGCACAAGCTTGACTTCATCCTACTAATTTATGAGACCCTGTATTATTAAGACGAACAGATTTCATGAGGTTTTTCTCCTCCTTAGGATTGTGATCAGAAAAGCCTACAATGGCGTTCAAGTTTTAAGAGAAAGTCCTATTCCTTTAAGTGTTATTTACCATGGCAGGTGGGGGGGGGGGATAGGGTGAGGGAGGGTTGTCTTTGACATGTGCCAGGGTAATCTTAATGAAGGAGTCCCTATGTACCTACATTTTCTCTACATGAAAGCTGCCTGAATGTCAGCCTTGGGGATACATTCTTCCTTATAAACCCAGGCATGCAATTTCCTATGAAACTTATATTTTAAAGCCTCCACACAATGCCACTCAGAAAGCAACTCGGAACAAAGAACTGAATGACATTCCATTGTGCGGAAAGAACTGTAACTGTGGGCTCTGTTTTCTTCCCCCTCTTCTATTATTATTGATTCTCAGCTTAGTTCTGAAAACATCTTGCTTTCCATAGAGAAAGTACAAATTTGCCGCCTTCAAAGTGAATACCTTCCATAGGTTTGCTTAATTTGCCTTTAAATGGGAGAGTACTTACCACCTTGGAGCTGTTCTGAAACCCAGCTCATTTCAACAACAGGAATGCAATTTTAAAGGCTTTGTTTCTGCCTTAAATCTAGAAACGTAAAAATATATAGATAATGATGAAAGTAATTCTACTTTTCATTTTCCAGTACTGTCTGGAAAATCTGTACATGTTATGCAAGTGACAGTGTATCTATCTCTAATTTCATCTTCATAACATGTACAGATTCCATATAAAATCTGAAAATGTACACGCTATCACACAAAGACCACTTCGATTTCCTCAGTGGCAAGGACAGCCTCCTATCTATGTGATTGATCTCTTACGTCCGTCTGTCTGTTTGCTTTCTAATAAACCATGATGAAGGCCTGCTGCCCTTGTAATAGACACTTAACATCTTCCCAGAGCAAGGCATTTCATTTAAAAAGACAGGCAAGACTCCTGCTCTGGTCCATGGGTGTTATAAATCAACAGACAGTTCTGACTGATTCCCTTTCCATTTTTCCCAGTGTACGGGAGCTCCCTGGAGGCAAAATCCAAAGTCCTTTCCACGTAATGAACATTATACATCCCCACCCCCCACACTTCTCTTTTATTAGAATAGCCTTTCATGTCATTATTTTTTTTTTCAAGAAGAATGTCAAGTGAGTACACTAATTGATCTCTTGCTGTTTTGTGAGCCTCCATTAGAAACTGAGGCCACTGGTCAAACTGTTAGCGTTGATGGGCTTTCGCTCAAGGCAGCCTACACTTTATTTCATCTCCATTTGTGCCACAGAAATGTCTGAGAAGCTCTCCACCTCTTTTAATTTTCATGAGATATGTTTCACATTATGAAGAGGTGTATTGACTCAGTATGCTCATAACTACACAGCAAATGGAAAAATAATTAGGTAAAATAAGTTTGCTAAGGTATTTTGCATATCAAAAGGTAACACAGTTTTTCAGTTGCTTGAGGTAATTCTCAGTGCTCTTTTAAAATGAGATGATCAGAATTGTAGGAACAGCTTGAATATTCTTCCCTTCACAGGTTTTTATTTCCTTTTTCAGGGAAGAGGCCACCATCTAATTCAATACCACCCATCTGCAAATGTTACCTAAAAACATCTAAACAAACAAAACCCTAATTAGCTCATACATGGAGTGCCAAATGTGATATATATTTTTTAGTAATTATTGATATTTTTACTTCAAAATAGTTTATGAAAAACTTGGGCAATATTTTTAAAAATGTTTTAATGTTAATTTTTGAAAAGACAGAGCATGAGCAGGGGAGGGGCAGAGAGAGAGGGGGACACAGAATCTGAAGCAGGCTCCAGTCTTTGAGCTGTCAGCACAGAGCTGACGAGGGGCTCGAACCCACGACCCACAAGATCATGGCTTGATTTGAAGTCTGACGTTTAACCAACTGAGCCACCAGGCACCCCTGGGCAATTTCTAATAGGACACTGGGACATCAAAGCGCTTCTTGGAGAAACATAATTAACCTCAGATTAAGAAGTGACGTTACTGTGTTCTTTCTCTTTGAACATCTTCCTTCTTTACCTGCTTCCCAATTACATGTTCTATCTCTTAGGACATTCTTTTACTTTTGCCCATTATTACAGGTAAGAGTATTTACAATCTGCCCTCTATTTCATAAAAATGTTCTTGAGACAGGCCTCTCATACACCAAGCATGGAGATGAATTAGATCCCTTAAGACCAAGGGACATGAAAGAAGAAAATATTGTAGATATATCATCCATCATAGGCCACTTTACGAGTTACTCACGTTTACATCAATGGTCATAACTGACTTTATATATTTGACCATTGACTCTAGGGTCTTGTTTTTTAAAACAATACTAAGAGGAGTGTCTGGGTGGCTCAGTCAAAGCATCCAACTTTGGCTCAGGTCATGATATCATAGTTCGTGAGTTCGATCTCCACATCGGGCTCTGTGTTGACAGCTCGGAGCCTGGAGCTTGCCGCTTGCCTCAAATTCTGTGTCTCCCTCTCTCTCTGTGCCACCCCCCCACTGTCTTTCTCACTATCTCTCTAATATTAAAAATTTAAAAAAAGAAAACAATACTAATACAGTTATAATCCTAATATATCATTCTACTCTCACCCATTGTATGTATGTTTATTCAGGTCAACATAAACAAAATTTTTAAAATCTACTTTACAGTTATCTGTAAGGAATTTATAATATTATTCTCTGAGGCATAAAAATCCTATCACTTGAAGCCTGTGATTGAGAGTTTTAGCAATTATGTAACATACATAACATCCATGCATCCACATCTGGCTTCAGGTCAATCTTGCTCCTGAACTTCACCTTCCGTATTTTCTGATTGTCTGCTGGAAATCACCACTCAGCTAATGGATGTGCTTAATCAGAATCAGTCCAAAACTCAAGATTTCCTGCTCTTTCTCCCACTTATTCTGTGGACCCCCACCTTGATCCATGATGGCATCATTCATCTTGTGACTCAGCTATAAACTGTGGAGTAATTCCCCAAAACTCTTTTCCTTTATTGCATTCATTTTCAACTGATCACCAACTCATGTGAATTCTACTTTGGACATAGATAAGTGATAGACAGATGACAGATCTACTTCAGAGTGTGTGTATGTGTATGTATTCATTCCCATCTTATTTTTTTTTAATATTTTTAATGTAGATCACATCATGACTTTCTGGATTAGTGTAATAGCTTCCTAACTACTATGTTAGCCTACAAGATCTCACTCCAACCAATCAGTCAAGATATATTTTCCAAAATATCTATTTATCTATCTATCACCTATCTATCTATCTATCTATCTATCTATCTATCTATCTATCTATCTCTATCCCTTTGATGAATTCCCTTAGTCTAATGAGATTAAGTCTATTCTGTCACACAAGCAGCACTCTAGAGCTTGCTAACCTTCCTGTCCTCTCTCACCTCCCTCTGCCCCTCTGAGGTCGCTACCCCACTGGCAGGGACTCTGACTCACATATCTCTCTATCATGACTCCTCTGAATTAGGGGCCTTTTGTTGAGTTCATTAATGTTTCTGAAACACCAATATCCACATATGACTGGAAAGTACCTGTGGTTTCATCTTCTGTCCCAAACACACAATTAAACAACAAGAATTTCTCAGAGTACTCAAAAGCCATCACTGTACACAGTTAATGTATCACTCTCATCCACTACAGCCCTCCAAAGTAGGGATAGTGTTTTTTATCATCTTTCTACCTGCTCTTCCTGGCATAGAGAAGCTCTGAATATGTATTTGTTGAATGAATAATTGGGACAAATTTATATTTTTTGTTATAATATTATTACTGGTTTAGATGCTATTTTGCATATGTAGGTATGACCTAAGTCCAGTATAAAAAGGCAAACATTTCAAGACAAAAATAAGTTCTGAAAATAGTTTGTAAAACATGTAAGATTTCTTGTGTTCTGATATATTTTTAATATTCTCATCCCCAGGGTGATGGATAGATGAAGATTCATGCTCAGCCAACAGGCAGCTGAGGCAATTACCTTGGTAACTCAACTCAAACCACCCAGTGTGGGGAATCTACAGATCTAAATGTTTAAATATAATGCTCTCCTGGGAATACCATCTCTTGTTGGCAAAATGGCTTATTTTTCCCTATTGCTGTACTCTTGTGTATTCTTTAATGAGCCTGTAATGCTAAAACCTGACAAAATATGGTGCCCGATCCACTACCCTGTGCTGGGGGCTGAGCTGCACCCTCCTGCTGCTTCGATGTACATACTGCTGGTTGCTTTACCGAGAACTAGAATCTGAGCGTATAATATTTTAACAGTGTGAAAAAGATTTTAAGGGGAAAACACTGTCTTCTGAGATAGTAGCTAAAAAACCATTACAATTTTAAGTTTTAGTTAAAATAGGAGAAAAGGGCTTTGAAAATTTGGCAAATGTAGCAGAAGCAGTGCCCACCAAGGTTACTAAACACCCGGAATTCAGCCTGGAGGCAGTCTCCAGAGTTTTCTATTCTGGAAGGCAGGCTCTATGAGAACCCAGCACACAGCAGGACTCACGCCTAAAAGTGGTTTGGCTGGTGGATTACAGTGACTTGAGTCATGCACAGATCTGCCAGGACCTCAGGTAGCAGATGATTTGTTTTCTTTATGATAAGCCCCCACAAATCCTTGCTGATATCAAACTGAGGGACAACTCAGCATGTCTGGTACAGATTATATACAGCCAGAAATGTCAGACATATTGCCCAGGAGTTCCTTCTTATTTTTCAAAGGCAAATCAGCCACACTATAATATTCTTGCTTTTCTCTCTCTCTCTCTCTCTCTCTCTCCTTTTCTTTCTCCTCTTCCCTTTCTTCATCAACGTGGTGGCCTATAGGCCTTGGAAAATGACAAAAACACAATGTCCTGGTCCTCCACACTTCATATTTTGGGTATAAAACTTTAAATTCACATGTTAATATATTAACAACAACGTTAGAAAGCTATCATGTACACAATACGTGTACCTGACAAAACATCTTCACATACGCACTGAGTCTGATGCACCACGTCAGACTGTAAGTGTCTTTAATAAGATATGCATATTTTCAGTGGCTAGATCTATCTCTGTGTCTATCTTTGTATCTATGCATCTATATACTTATCTATCTCCATCCAGTCACACACATACTCATTTGATTGCTTTATCTGTCTTTCCCTCCTTGGATTATTCATCCCTCTTTGTGGCCCTTCTGGATTCTGGTCCCTGGGGTAGGAAGCCCACACAGGCAAGCTGGGAAGACCTGACCTAGGCTGACAGCTGCACAAGACCCCTTTCTGTGTCTTCTTCACTCTCCTCTGACCTCTTCTCTCCCCTTCCTTAGGAACCCACCTTCCTGATAACATTTCCAGCTTTTGTGGTTTCCATACACGGGTACATTCCACTGATCCTCTATTACTTTATTTTTCATCCCCCTTTTTTTTAGAGTAAGCTCTATGCCAAACATGGGGCTCAAACTCATGACTCCAAAATCAACAGTCACATGCTCCACGGACTGAACCAGCCACATGTCCCTGTCTTCCATCTTTTAATGCCTTCTTCGCAGTGTCTTCAATTGCCTCGACAGGCGGAGGTCACTTGCCCCAAACTCTTTCACAAAACCCAATGACAGCAGGTCAAAAAGAAATTCCACTTTCAGCTGCTTCCATCCAGAAGTCTTGAAGGCTAAATGTGATAGCAGTTTACATTTAAGTCGCTTATAATGCAAATATAGATGTCAATGACTTTAAGATAAAATGAGCATAAATGTTATATTCAAAATGAATGAGGGAATACATTAAATATGATTATTATATTATGTGTTCTCTAGAGAAAGAAAGCCCAGAAAAATAAAAATGGAAACCTTTCTGACAGGTCTCATGAAAAAACACAGAAGTGCAGGTGTGGATTCATTGATGGATTTCAATTAATGCAGCTTTTTTTTAAATATTAGCACCTGTCTTTGGTGAAGGTTTGCACGCTAAATAAGGCATGCATGTATTTTTAGAAAAGGGGATAACTGATCTGGTGATTTTACAATCTTACCCCATTTTTAAATTTTGAGGAGGAGGAAATAGGCTTTGCTTACAAGCAAAAGAATGGTTGAGCAACATATTCAGGTATACACACGTGTACAGTTTGATATAAAGGCAGACGATTGCTGCAATTAGTGACATTTCAAAAATGAATGTTTAAAGTTATCCATGTATATAAAACACACGTATAAAATACAGGCGTAAGAAATTCTCAAAACAACCATGTAAAATGTAAAAGAAAATCGGGTTAGGACACATAGAAACTCGTATGAACTATGCCAACACTGAGGAGATCATGTTTCCCTTGGCTGTTCAGTCACCTCACCCAGAGCAGAAGTAGCTGGGACAGATCCTTTCTAGGGTCAACTCAGGCTCCTTCGTTCCACCCACTCCACGCCTTATAGGTCATCCCTGTGACATGATCATTCTATGCTGTTAATGCACTAATCTTATTCCTAGTCAATTCATTCTCTCACTCCCCAGATCTCCGTGATGCTAAATGGCCTAGACCTCATAACGGCCACATTACCACCTTTCTGTGCCTCTTTTCTCTTTTCTTCCCTCCTTGTTAAGACATTCAGTAATAATAACAAAGCAAATCCAGACAATGTTAAGTTTGCCACTCATCTGTCCAAAATTTTAATTTTTAACATATATGTATATTTGTATAAGTATATGATGGCATGTGTATATATGTAATAGTATACATACATATAAGGATATATATACATATATATATATCACAAAATTGGTCAATTTGTCTCAGATTGTTGTACTAGATACTATATTGCTCAGAACATTATTGGACTTTAATATTTTTCATTTTTAGATTTTTTCAAATTATTGATTTTTTAATTTAAATCCGAATTAATACATAGTATAATCATGGTTTCAGGAGTAGAATTTAGTGATTCCTCACTTACATACAACAAGCAGTACTCATCCCAAGTGCCTTCCTTAATGCCTATCAACAATATATTTTTTAAAACTCAGGATATGTGGGTCACCTGGGTGGCTCAGTTGGTTGAGCAACTCACTCTTGATTTTGCTTCAGGTCATGATCCCAGTTAATGAGATTGAGTCCTGTGTCAGGCTCCGTGCTGAGCATGGAGGTTGCTTGGGATTCTCTCTCTATCTCTTTCTCTCTCTCCCTCTCTCTCTCTGCCTCTCCCCTGCTCATACACATGCACGCACTTTCTCCTTCCCCCTCTCTCTCTCAAAATAAACAAACTTTAAAATAAATAAATAAATAAATGAAAATCAGGATATGCTAAGTACCTGTCCCTTATGAAACTGTATAGAATTATAAGACTGCTTCCAAGTTGGGGGCCTTAGGGGGGTTAATTAACAAGCATTCACTACCGAATAAAGTGTATTTAGTGAGAAGCCTCTGGGAAGGGAGGGTAAGGATGATGGAGAGGCAGGAAGTAAGAAACATGCTAATTTAGTTTCCCTTTTTGTGTACGTATTTATGTTCCACCTGGGAAAGTGTAATTAATACATGTGAGCAAATCAGTGAACCAATTTAAGTCTAAAACACATGGTGTTGCTGCCGAAGTTTAGAGGAAGCAGAAAACCATAGATCTTGGAGGATGTAAAAGACGGAATTTTAGAGGTGGGATTTCAGCTAAATTGTGAACGATGTAGGTGGCAGAAAGAACACAGAGGTGGGGAAACGATAGGAAAAGAGACCCAGAAGTAGTTATTTCCTCCTTTCCCTCCCTCCCTCTTCCTTTCCTTTCCTTTCCCTCCTCCCTTCCTCCCTTCCTCCCTCCCTTCCTTCCTTCCTTCCTTCCTTCCTTCCTTCCTTTCCTTTCCTTTCCTTTCCTTCACACCTTTCTTCTTTCTTTCATTCCTCCCTCCCTCCCTCCCCCCCTTCCTCTCTCCCTTCATCCTTCCCTACTTTCCCTTCTCTCTCTCTCTCTCTCTCTCTCTCTCTCGGTCTTTGGTTTTTGTTTTTGTCTTTCTGCCCCCACCCCCAGGGAGGGAAGAACAAGTAGAGTCATGGGCAGAATCAAACAGTAGAGTCAGGGGCACTGCAGCGTGTTGCTGGGGGTGGGGGGTGGGGGGGGGAGGATGGGCTGGAGGGAGAGCAAGAGTTCCCATTAACTCTGAAGAGAGGTATTTCTGGAAAGTGCTGGGAACAAGCCCAGTAAGGAATGTGAGATTATGGCTAGACCAACAAAGAAAGGAGTATCTGGAATATTTGTACATTATCTTTTGTTTTCTACTTTACATTTATCCAAATCACAATTCTGGGTACAGAGAAGCAATAATAAGCAATAATTCAATGTCTTAAGCAAATATGAACACCTGAATGTCTTAACAATTAGAGTTCCTTCTATAAATGGTGGGGCTGTTGACTTTCACAACTTGCAAAGTCAAATTCCTTCATGTCTTGGTAACTATCATTGGAGGCTGACGCACGTTTCCAATTGGTCTCTGTCTGCAGAGCATTCCTTACCAGCTACTTTATTCCTGGAAGATTCACTTATCCTTTTGAAATTTCAACCCCCCCCCATCCATATAATGCCGGTGCTAATAACAGGAATAAATTTGTAGGTTTGTCTGAGGACTGTAACAGTGCATCAAGAACACCTAACCCCATGAAGAGCACATAGCTGTTATTTAATGTTTAGTAACAGCCCCCCCCCAAGCGAAACTATTAGTTGCACAGTTAAATGACTGACTTGAATAGGAAGCAGAAGCACTTTCCAAATTCACAATTCTAATTTGGTGTCTCCACCTTCGTTTATTCAGTTATCAAACACGTAGTCCCAAAATGAGTAGACACTGGACAAAAAAACATCTACAGGAGAGGTAAATAAAAGTATTTTTTGGAGGTATGGAAGGAAAGAGAAGTAAGGAATTCTACCAATTCAAAGAATGAGGGCTCTAATTAGTGTAGTTTGAATTTGTACCAAAGGAAGCATAAAGCAGGTCAATTGAGTTCCTCCTACATAGCTGAGAAGCACAAATTGTCACTACACCAAACAATTGAATTATTGGATCCATTAACCAGCATGATTTGATCCAAAAATCAAAGTTGCCAAACAAGAAATAAACTAGAATGAAATATGGATAAGTTTGTT